AGTGTTTGAAGAGCTTTCAGATCATAATGAATTCATTCATCCTCTTTCATTTAAATGCATGGAGAAATAATTTTTCTGTGCATAATCCTGAGCTCTCCTGTTTCATTTTGCATATCAGACAGGAGGTGGCTGGGATAGTCTGGTCCTACTAACACTACCCTTATGCAGGGCTTTTCCCCACCAGCCCAACTCCAGCTGGCTCCGCAGCCCCATCCTGGCAACAGGAGGTTGTGAGCTGCACCTAGGACTTTTTGTTCATCCATCCACCAACCTTATACAAACTGAGATATGAAAACAAACAGACAATTTTGCATAGATAATGAAGGGCTCTTTTTCAGAAGATTGGGAAAAGCAATAACTTTTTCAAGCCTGAAAGGTTGCATGAATGCAAGTTGCCAAGATTCGCTACATCTCCCCAACCACAGGATGTTTTGTGCGCCCTGCTTAAAGCACAGGGCTCTCTGTGTTATAGAGCTTGTCTCCCTGTTGCAGCCTGTAAAGGCTGAATGGACTTTCCCCATATGTCAGTGGCAGAGTCTCACCATTATTTCATATCTCCTTTGACACTCCAGCACACCTCAGCCCCTTCTCTCCAGGGCCCCATTTCCAACACGCTAGCTCTGCTCCCACCTCAGCTGGTGCTTGCCAGCCACTGCCCTGGAAGAACAAGTTCCCTTCTGGGATGCTTCAGAAAAGAGAAAATCATCCACTCAAGATGTACCTGAGCAGGCCCAGCAGGGCTGATCAGCTCCACTGGCACTTCAACAGCTTTTTTGTGACAGTCTTCACACAGCAACTAATCCAGTGTAGATAATGCTGTTGTGCTCTCTGCTGTGCTGGGGACATCATACTGGGAACTGACAGAAACATTGCTAGAGCAGCATCAGCAGGGCCTGTGCACACTGCTGTCAGCAAGGACATTTCCAGTCACGTATAGCTTCCAGCTGTTTTGCTAGAGTAAGCACAATGGATGCAGCATGGAGCATGAATCACAGAACATGCCTTCCTGTCTAATTTTATCAGCTGTAAATTGTGAGTCACAGCCAGGAGTGCTAAGTGTTGAGCTCTGTGCAAGTCCACACCTGGGAGACTCTGACTTCAGAACATTTTGAGCAATCTAAGCCATGTTATCTGTAGCTCGATCTTTTCCCTTAACAACAATCTGCTCAAAAATGTCATTTAAAGAACAGCAGGTCTCCCTCCCCACATGCCCCACTGATCTTCTTCCAAACCAGCAGTATCCAAGCCTTTACAGCGACTTTTCCAAATCCTTGTCCTATCAGCAATATAGAGGACGGAAAGAAAGGAGTGCTGTTTTTCTGTAAGTTAAAAAGAACATGCACATTTCTCAGCAACAGACAGACTGAAGTTACCATGCACATCAGGCACCACAGTCTACTTCACAGGTGGATGGATCCAGACAATAGCTTTCCTGCATGGCAGAGACTGACACCTGCCCTGTGCTGAAGAGAGTAAGGCTGGGAGGACCTTGCTGCAACAGCAGCACCAGGACCTGGAAAAACAGCAGCATAACTGGCTTGCACACACATCCATGCACGCAGGCAGATTTTTCTCATATGAGGGTTGAAGCCACCTTGAGTACCCCTACTGAACAAGATAGGCAGTGGAGTGGGTATGCTGGGACTCTTCGCCTCTTCTAGATGTGCAGTGACTCCATTTTGACCCTCAGTCCATGCCATGGTAGCCTCGTATTCAAAATAGGAAGTCTCACAACCTGCCTCTCTCCCTGCCACCTCCCCTTTGTTATAATTAAAATGAGGGCTAATGGAATATGGCATGATGGTAAGTGCTTGTCAAATTTATCTCAGTATCTTCATTTAAGACATTTTATTATCCACTGGCACTTTCTAGCCACAACAGTAATTTATTTAGATGATTTACGTGGAAGAACAAGACCTTGCTCAATACCTCTAAGACAGCTCTGGGAGAGTTGCTGTGGCAAGTAACACTGGCTCTGAGAGTCCCAGGTATTCATCTACACCTTGTACTCTGCATCTCTGTGGGAGACTGATTATTCTCTGACAACAAAACCCCTTACCGAGGACTTTAAGCATTTCTGCTTGAACAAGTACAAAGCTGCATGGAATAATTTCCAATGCAAAGTGCACACAAATGACATGGGAAACAATTATTTCATTGTTTAACTCTGCAAAATGACGTCAGGAAAAAAACAAATGTAAAGCCAGGAAAGGATTTTCTCAGACTAAAACCAAAACATACGTAGGAACTTTAGAATAAAATGTGCAGGGGCCCGATTAATCCATAGGAGCAGTGAGACACTGCCACTGCCACATTACAGATCTCAGAAACATTGACTGAGAACAGCTGCAGTCTGTAGATTCTTTGTTCCATAAAACAGCGGAAAGCCACTTCACAAAAACAAACAACCAATTTAGAGGATCGCCATTGCCTCTAGGGCTGCCTGGCTTATGCATTTGCAGAGATATATGCAAGGTGTTTAATGCTGGCTTGCACTGAACCCTGGTCAATTATTCCATTTTTGAAGCCCTGAAGCTGTGCTGCAAACGTTTGCTATGTGTCTCCCCCCCAGGACCTACTTGCATTTCTATGTCTCTCAGAAATTTAAGCAAAACCAGTAGCTGTGGCCTTTCCAGGCCATACCCATTTCTCTAGTATGAATGTTTGAAGGAAACAAAGTTAAACAATACATGCTAGAGACTCTGCCTCCAAAGCGCTCAGGCATTTGTTTTCATTACATTCAGTAACATATTCCACCAGTGAAGGTTTTCTCCAAAGCAGTAAATTTTCATCAGATTTCTTGTTTTGATATGTTTTTTCTTGTTAAAAATTTAAGTAAACCAACATAGAAATAACTATTAATCATTTAACGAAACAGCAATTACAACTTCAGTACTGTTTTGTCCCATGTCAACACTTGAACCAAAGTGGTGGATATGGAGGAGAATAAATGATGAATAAATCAATTTGTTTCCCTCTATGGTTCCACAAATTGCTGAACCTTCGGGCTCACAATGCTGCTTCAGCTCATTGCAAATATTCATTTAGCTCTGTCACTTTTCAATGAAGTGATCTGGTGAGTGAGATAAATTTTGTCACCAGAGCAAGTCAGTGCATATTCCTGGTGACTAAAAAAGCCACACCCAGGTAAATCTATTGTTGTCCAACATGTGTTATCTTTATTTGCTCTTGCAAGAAAGAAAAGCTCTGAACGTACTCTAAAATCCTTTACACAGACCTGGAACTGCAGTCAAGCTGCAACGTTACTTGAGACAAGTTAGCAAAAAACTATCAAAACACACGAGATGAAGCACTAAGATAGCAGAGGGACCTGACATTTCACAGGAGCACTCAGCTGATAATGTCTCAGCATACACCATAGGCATGAATAAGCAAGAAGCCTCAATAGCTTATATCTTAAACCCATCCCAAGTTCAAATTGCAAGATTTATCTGTGATTTATCTGCATTTTATCAAACTATGGTAGTAAAAGACAGTATCTACCAGTAGGTATTGATTTTATGTTACTTTCTCTGCGTGAATTATTATTCCTGATCTAGAAACGGGGAGGATGAGCAGCATGAGGTGAACAAGTCATCTTAAAAAATGAAAACTACAATTTTGTTTGCAGAATGTTGTGTTATTCATCAGTGCAGGAAGAGGCCCAGAGAACAGAAGGTATTTCCCTTTGTGGAGAAGGCTTCCAGTGGAACCATAGGAGAAAACTTCTAGGTTGGTCAGAGATCACACATAAAACTGTACCTGGGCTCATATAGCACTGCAGCAGAGTTGGACAGCCCCTGGTCCCAGTTTCCTTTAGCTTCTAAAATTTTAAGAGGTGGGACCAAGATATTGATACACATGGCTGAGAGCCATTAATAAAATAAAAGAAACTATAGAACATATAAATTTTTGTCAACCAAAAATGACACCATCATACTGTATGTAGTACCTTATCCCTCTTAAGAAAATCCACTTAGTGGTCTCTCTCTCTGGAGACTGATTTTCCTCTCATTCACACAGCTATAAATCCAGATTGATTTTTATCAAGTCATAATAAGTCAAAAACACATGAAGTAAGAGAAGAATTGGTCTCTGTATGAATATAGACTCCCTATACGGCCAGATTCTGCTCCTGTTGATTTAGTGGGTGCTTCCCATTAACCAATGCAAATCACTAGTAATAAGATATCATTAGGCCTCCGGGTGAAATTTTGAGAGCTGATAGGCAGTTTGGAATATTAATTTATACAATTCAAATGTAAAGCATACTTAGAGGGATTGTTCAAGAGACAACTCTGGTATGGCCAGGCATAGAACAAAGTCAGTAAAGAAGTGCCAGATGGGTACCACTCAGAAAAGGCAATTGGACTTGTTATTAACAAAGTATGTTGGTTCAGATGCAGTAAAAAAAAGTTATTATCAAGAAGCCAGATAAAAATCTTAAGACCTGAAAGAGTTATCATAGGTATGAGAAGGGTTTCTTGATTTCTCTAAGCTTCATAGCAACTTATAAAATCTATTACCTTTAAATTGCTATTTTTTAAACAAACACAAAAGCATTTTTATTTCTTTAAAGGGAATTAATCTTTTGTCTTTAAAGACCAATAGCTGATGGAAACCTCAGTGATCTTTTATAAATTTTCTGAAATATGGTGAAGGTGCAGAGTTTAAATCCAAAAACATTATTTATGGAAGTGAAAATGCTGTGTTTTGTTCTGTGTGACTGTGTGGCAGCAAGTGACTTTATCTTACTTCAAGACATAGCAGAGTGAAAGGAAAAGGCTATCTCCCATGCATGCATAATAGAAGAAATGATGGCTCTTCTGACATGACACATTGAGATATTGGCAAAATGGACAGAAAGTTAGGAATGGAACCAGCCAGCATGTCTGTTCTGGAGTGTAAGGTGACCTGACCACTGAAGGGAAAACCAACTAGAAGTCATCTGGTAATCTGAAATCCACAAAAAAAAAAAAAAAAAAAAAAAAAAAAAAAAAAACCATCATAAAATAACAGCAGTACTGTTACGTTTTCCAGTCTGGAAGAAAACTCCACATCCAGAGATTTGATTGAGCTTCTGCTGGTAAATCACAGTAATCATCACCTTCAGTAAATGGGTCTGTTGTCTATAAGGCAACAGAAGTAAATACCTCAGGCTAGCTTTGAACAGTTCAATTACTCTTGTTTGCAAAGAGTTTTCTAAGGGGGTATTTTATTGTTTTCCTTCCCTTCGTAACAGTTGAGAGGGTATTTTGACTGTAGCAGGTCTTTTGACTCGCTAAGTTCAGGAAGTTGCCCTTCACAAACAGTGGCTGCAGGGCTTATTGTATCACATGTATTTGCAAGGGACTTCGGGAGCACATCAGCAGAGGACCAACCTGAAAAGTGGTGGCAAAGACCTGCAGGGTGTCACTGACTTCAGCTATTTGGTCATCACATCTTGAACAATGCAGAACTTGCCTTTAATATTCTTTTGTTTTTTTCCTCATATCAAAGGGCTAAATTATGAACCCTAGTAAGTGTAGGAGGCTTTTCAGTTATCTTTCTGATGCAAATTATGTCATTTTGCATTATCCAGTCATTATCTGCAATTTGAAAAGTACAGCAGATGTTATGAAATGCTTATACGTCAGATCTCTCCTCCTCTGAGAACAGAATCAAAGTAAGCAAAATTTGAACATCCCCATGGTGACTTCATGTTTAGCTGCAGCTCAAGAGTGAAATCAGTCTGGGCTTTCAGAAATCTGTCAGGTATTTAGGTTCAAATGAAGCTGGGATTAATGGCCTGGGTATGCCAAGCTGAGCACCTGGAAATATATGTGCTCTTTTCCAATGCGTACATTCTTTCTCCCTGCTAAATGCCTACATTGAAAGCACAGTGTCATTACATTCAACAAGTGTTTCTCATCCATTTAGAAGACAGCCCAGTAGGAGATCTGCCCTCAGCTCTCATTGCATAATATGGAGCAAGTTGGATTTGATTGTGGCAACGAACCGATAATGCCAAAGTTAATGAATTAAAGATGTTTAAAGAAGTATCCTTAATGAAGTTATGAGAGATTATTTTACAAGGTGGCATTTAGCATTGATAATAATTATAAAGTACCTTCTCTACCAACCTCCGTCTGGGACCTTGTAGAGGTGCAGTGCATCACATTTGGGCACACAGTTGATTTAAGAAAATGCAAACATTCAAAAGACCTGCAAAGCATCATCAGTTAAATGCAGTATTATTTACTGTCTTTAAGGATAGTGATAGAAATGTAAGGAGGGAAAGAAGGAAGAATGTTACGACTTCTTGTCTTGTAAATGTTATCCTAAAGAGGGCATACCATCATTCCCTCAATTTTCACCTGTGTTGAATCTTAGCAAACCAGCTCCTTTGCCAGTTCGAGATTTTCTATGTCTATACAATAGCCTGGTACTACAGTCCACAATTATGGAGCGGTACTTCTGGACTAAATCCAGAAAGGAGTGAGAAGGTCATTTTCACCTAATCCCATCTATACCTTTGAGTGTCTGAAGGCTTGTTCTTAACTCATAGAAGTTACGGAAGACACAGCTCTACAGACCTCTCGTTCTTCTCCCTACACTGAACAATCTGCAAGATTGTAACGGGATCACAATTTACAATCATAGAATCACCAGAGTTGAAAGAGATCACTAGGATCATCTAGTCCAACCATCACCAGCATCCCACTACACACTGACTTAGAGATAGGCCTTGATCATGCAGATCATGAAAGGTAGCTTTGGTAAACAGACTATTGATTCCCTGTGCTTTCTTTTGTAACTTGGCTGACAGGTTTGTAGGATGGCAAGAATACCAACTAACAGCAGTGCTGCTTCAGCCAATTGTTCTTAATAACCTTGCCAAGGAAGAAACATTCATACACAGGCACTTCACAAAGCAAGAGGTTTTTGTCTTTTGTGTGCATCTGTGTGTTGGGGGCATTGTTGCTTTTTTTGTTGTTGTTTAACATAAGCATATTTCTCAGGGCAATTTGCTCATGCACTGGTAAGACCATTCTTCTCCACAGGATTGCAAGAATGCAGTCTGTCTAGAATGTTTGTTAGGTATGAGGTGATAGATGTGAGTGAGAGAGGCTATACATAGATCTTGTTGCTTTGCACGTTCCATCGCACAGGGGCAGCTGTACAATAGCTTGGGCTCTCAAATCATGACATTCTAGGCTGAGGACTAACCCACGCCCTTTTGAAGTTAATTATAAAACTCTTACTGAGCTACAGAGGGGTTACATGTTCACTACAGTCAAGATTTAGCCTTCAGTATGTCCTTGCTCCCTAAAGCCATCAACCTGTTTCACTGTTATTACTCTGTGGACATATTCTTCAAAATTAATAAAAAGGTCCTTCCAAGCAACCTCTGTGCTTTGTTGAGTATCTAAACTTGTGACCTTCTGTTTCATCTACACTACAAAATCTGGCACAGCACAACGGAAAATAAAGGGAATACAATAAAAAATTAGAATTAAGGTGATAAGGTGGATGATAGAATATACAAAGAAAAAATAAGTCGTGCTGAATATGGGATAGTGCTGATCTACTATTCTTTCAAACTGTACCTTAAATACTCTCTGCCTTCAGTAACGCTGTAATTTTTTTTTTTATATCTTGCTTTAATGCAATCCCTTATATCCTGTATAAGTGTTCACCCTCCAGCCTCCAGAGAAATACAAATCAACACAAAACACATCCAGGCTGATAGATTGGGTTTTAGAAAGCTTTTAGGGAACTGTAAAGAAGGTATCAAGACAAAGTGATCTGATATCTAGATAGCATTTGTACTTGAGTGTGACAATGCCACAAGACATAGAGGCTCATCAGGATTTGTCCATCAAAAAGAAACAGAGAAGCATGAGTCCTTTCGTTTTGTTCTGTTTTGCTTCTGTTTTTCTGCAACTCACAGTAAAATGCATGGGTTATTTTGATCCTTAAGTCTCAGGTATGCAACTTACAAGACTTCTGAGGACCAAAAACCCCTCTCTGCTTCTCTAGAGCATATAGCCAATAGTGGAACATTAAGCCACCATCCTTGACACTAAAACATCCTAATCATTGTCAAAAACTTGTTCCCACTTGAATTCTGGAATTGCACTGAGTGGGGAGTGAACTTCTACCTCTAAGACCATAAAGTATGCCCTGTAACTTTAGGTGCCAGCAAAAGGAAGTCTCATGGAGACCCAGAACTGTAAGGAGAACTCAATCACTATGGTGTTTCCAGGCTGAAATACATTCACAGAATGTGCTGACAGGTTTCCCACAAGCAGGAACCAATTAAAAAGAAAGGCCATTTTTTTCCTGCAAGTGCAAATCTTATTTCTTGATATTCTCCTTTATATACAATATAAAAATTACCCTACCTTAAGAGACAGATGTATCCTAAATTACACCTGAACTTCACAGTGCTAAGCAATTATTTTCCCCTTTTTCTTACACAAAAGCCTTAGGCCAGCATATTAAAAATAACAATATCTTTCTAAAAGATTTGACTGCCACTTTCCTGAACGGTGATTTCTAGCTAATAGGACATAGTTCATAGTCAACCTTAAGAGCCCTTTGGTAGAAACTATTAAACTCACCAACCAGGAATGAGATGGAGCAGCCACCAGGAGACCTTTGTTCACTGATGTTCTCACTGCCACTGGAAGAATAAATAAGCAGAAAGCCTGTCATCCTAGCTAGTAATTCCCAGAGATAAAGGTTACAATTACACAATGGGAATTAACCCATTTTTCAAAAACACTTTCATAATAAATTTACCTCCCTCAAAGTCTTTTTGTGACTGCAAAAGCAGCAACAGACTCAAAGCATATGGCCCAGTAGGCTGGGTTTCACAAGGGCCAGCACTGATCAACCTCAGAATGAATGTTTATTTAGACTGGACCAGTACCTTTCTTGAGGTGGGGAATATAAATCACAATCAGCCAGTTCATAGGGGTACAGATGTTCCTAGACCAAGCAATGTCCTGGATGGCACAAGGCTCTCCAAAGGGCCATCAGGTCCCCAGTAACAACAGCAAGGAGGAGCCAGTGCCAGGACAAGGGTTTTGTAGTACTGTGCCCGTGGTGACAAGCCTCACATGGGATGCTTGAACCCATCCTCCTTCCACTAGGATGTTCTTTGAGGAAGCCTCATTCTGTTCCATTTTCAATCACTGCTTTATGAACAATCATATGTGCAAACATAAAAATAAATCTCTAGATCACTGTTTTAAAAGAAGCTAAATTTTGTATATATTTTACCAGAAGATAAGGCATAACAATTTAGCATCAGAGAGACAGAATGCCTTAGGTAGAAATTTTGCTGATGGAAAGTGAAGAAAGGGAATCACAACCAGAGCCTGCAAGGCTGGGAAGGGCAACATTACAAATGTTTAATACTTATACATAAACCCTCAGAAGTATGAGTCAAAGTTAATGAAGAAGGCAACCCATGGTAAAGTCCTTAGTGCCAATCACAATTTCAAAGAGTTAAGAAACAGCAACAGAAACGAATGATTTGGAGCTGTTCAATATGTTAACATGAATGAGCCAGTCACAACAGTCACAAAAGCAGCCAGTATGTTGGGTATATTGGGATGTTAGTTTTTGCAGGAATGGAGAAACTCTGGCTTTCTCATATTTAGATTCTCTACCTCCACTATGACTTCTATTAACTTTCAAGTTTAAAAAAAAAGCTGAATATTTCTGAATGTATCTAGCTGCAGCAGAAATAAACAGGATGGCTACTTTATAGAGTGCAGGACTCCTCACCAGCTGCCCTTTGTGGGCAGACTTGTAATCTCTTCAAAAAATAGAAGCAGCTAAGAAACGCCAGATCTAGGGACTTGACTTCTATTAGGAAAGAGATAATAATTGAAAATTATTTAAGAGCAGCTAAAACACTTTTCTGGCACATTCTCCATTTACAGACTTCAAAGCACTTTGCAAACCCTAACTTAAAGCAATACCCAGAAGACCTAAATTACTTTTCCTCTTCTCTCTGCTTTACAGGTGAAAAAACAAGGTGAAATGTTATCCTCAAGGTCACATAGAGCCTCCCTTGGAACTAGCAGCTTCTATTTTCCTGTTCATGCCAGCAGACTGTACTGCCTAGTTGTGTTTGTTCCAGTGTTAAATGGTCTCCTGGGAATGAAGTGTGTAACCTGTAAAATATGCCACCTTCTTACATTTTTGCTTACCTTTAAAGTACATCCTTCAGTCATATGTTTTCAGTGAGCAACTTAAATTTTTCATAATTTATAACATTAATCACGGCAAGGTGCATTTCTGAAGTCAAATCTAATACAATGACTTGCTTCAAACAAGAACTTGAACCTGTGATTCACTGAAGGGTTTGATTTGCAGTTATATGTATTAAAAAAATTGATCTACTTACACATATATTACAGTAGTTGAAGTTTTCAAGGTTATAAATTGAGGTCCCAAGCTTGTGGTAAGTAGCACCGATTTTAGGATGACGATATTAAGAGTAATCTTTCTTGCACTGAAATGCATTTCCCCTGAAACCTGCATCTTTTACACAAAGACTCGCCTTTGGTTTAGAGATCATAGAGAAACAGTATGGAGTCTTCTGTTCTTCAGCTACTTATGGCCTTTAAAATCATTTTAAGGGCAAGGCATGTAATGCTTCCTTCTTTGTTTACATATCTCTTCCAGAAGCAGCAGAAATGCCAGCCCAGCATATTCAAAATGGATTGGGTTTCAGGTTATTTCCATCATGAGGTATCTGAACAGAGACTGATTCAAAAGGTGTATTATTATTTGTTTTACAGAGGATTGTGTATATTCACACATGCAGTGTATTCACTCATGTATCAGGTGCTCTGAGTGTGCAAATCTGGTTTCTGCTGTGAAAGTCCCCCATCACCATTGTATGGAATCAAAGTCCAAGATCCCAAATCCTGTGTTTTGGTGAAGTGAAAGCTCAGGCCTCCCATCTCACCTGGCTGTCACAGTGTCCATCATCACCAGGTCACCTCCCAGGCCACAGATCCTCCTGCTCAGAAGAATCTGCACCATCCTCTGTGGAAGCTGAAATTTTTGTTTAGCTGTAAAGCCCTCCCAGTTTTCTATCTCCTAACTGTTCATCACAGTTGGATCTATTTTTACAGCGTTTTTTTCCTATGATATATAATCAGCACTCACCTGACAGGAGAGTATACTCAAGACTTACGAAAAAGCTGCTTTAAGATCACATGATAATAAATTCTCCTTAATTCCAAATATATATGAGATACAGAGCAGGGCCCACAACAAGTTTTATAGAGAGCATTAATGTCAGCAGTTTAAAGAGAATTAAAAGAAAAAATAACATTTCATCCCTGAGAAAAAAAAAATCCAAGTAGTGCATAAGGATAAAAGGAGCATTTCCTTAGGGAACTGCTTATGAAAGAGCTTTCAGTTCAAAATGAGGAAATCACTAGGCACTGCAGAAGGATTATATTGATCAAAAATAGTTTTCTGAAATATCAGGATCCAAAGAAAGTCTCAAGTAAGAAACCCAAATGAAACAAGTCAGCAAGCTGAAACGCAGGAGAAGTCCCACGTTTCATTCGCAGCAAGGATTTCTTGTGATCTGACTCCTGAATGAGACATGGTACGTATGGTTGGGAATGTTTGGAAACTGTCTTATAGCTCTGACCCAGACATTAGATTGATTGACCACCTACTGTAGAACCAGACAAATTCTTTTTTTTTCCTGCAACATCTCAGCCTGCCTTTTGTGAAGCATCTTCTCTATCCTTTCTGCAGTTTCCTAGATGTGATTAACCAGGAGGCCAGTGCTGCTCCATTGCTGCACGCCCACCAATCAGTGCAATGCTAATAAGATGCCAGGTGAGACTGCTGAGCTCCCATTGAGCTACTCAAAATAAAAATATTTAGACAGACTTGTTTGATTTCTCCACATGTTGTCATCTATAATTTATCATTTCAGCTCTTACTTGTTCTGCTCTCTGCTCTGTTTTACTGGGGAGGGGGGAGGGAGGAGAGGGTTTTCTCTTCCAGCTTTTACTGTAAGCACATCAGAGATTTGGATGTATGATGCTTACCAGAGCACTTCAGTCCCTGTGTTTAGTTATTCGTCACATCTGGTAAAGCAGCAGACTTTTCCGCTGAGCACAGAGAATGAAGTGATATATTCCTCAAATGTGTATGTACTGAGCAATGATGTTACAGTATCCTCTTCTTCGCAAGCATTTCTGATGTCTGTAAATACCCAAAAGATGAGAACGGGTGCTGGGATAAGCAGAGATTAAAATAAAACAACTATCTTCTGCATAAAAGTATGTCACAATCAGTACAGACTGAAAAGCTCAAAAGCCAAATACACACATGAACACACAGCTAAGGGATGAAGCTGCTATTGTGAATGGGCCTGAAGGCAGCACCAACTGGCTTCTCATGCTATTACCTGTCCTGTGCATGGTTTATTGCGCTTCTATAGCCCAGGAATTAATCTCAGGTAGAGATAAGGGAATTATTTAAGAGTTTAAGCAAACAATGAGTTCATAGCAAGATATGGAACATTTTCTATCAAAAATAGTTCATCTTCCCTATTTGTCTGGAGCAATAAATACCTAGCAAATGAATACCATGCTTGCACAAAATAAGAATTGAGATTAATCTCAACTATCAAAGACAATAATAAATTGAATGAAAGTGCAACAGGGTAAAGCAGATTCAGTATCAGCAGCCCCTTCACAAGTGACACAGCCCTTGGCAGAATACACTGCTGTTTCAGAATTTTGTAGTTACTGTTTTTAATGTATTATGAAATGCAGAACCTGAAGTTTTCTTCACCCAAATAAATACGTTCCTTAAGACTCCTTTTTCAAAGGATACCTCTCCATTTACCTTGCAGCACATTGCCTCCTAAGTCCTATAGATGATACACTCATTCCCTGTTGCATATATATGCACTTAGCCACCACTATCAGATTTGCAGCACTCAGATATTCTACGCTCCAAATTAGTTATGAGCAAATCCCATTCCTGCAGTTCACTCATTTTTCTATTACAGCTAATCCAATTACCCCAGACTCTTATCTTCCTACCAGTGAGCACATATGTTATTTTCTCATGCAAGTCATCCTGTAGAAAAGTTATTGAGCATATTTATGTGAGAGAAGTCATGGACCAAAGTGTTTATGGGCAGAGTTTATTACATTTGTAGTATGCAAGGCAACAGATTGATGGATATGACAGATGAGTGCAATTTAAACAAAGGAAAAAGCAGCATGAACAGGTAGCTGAAAAATGCTAACAGAAGCATTCTTGAAAGCAAATGGTAAGTGCCCTGGGGAAAGCTTTGGGGCACAAATAACCAAATCAAATCTAGAATTTGCCTAAAAACTTGTTCTGCCTGAAACTGGCTCTGAGATTAGGGGAATAGATTTTTTTGCACTCAAGCTATCTGCAGAAACATGCCTGAACTGAGGCACAGGGAGATGTTGGCAGAGGTGGGAGTGCCCACTACCTCTGCTTGCTGCAGACAGTGCACCTCTAAAATCCAGCTAGGGAGCCTGACAGCACTGAGCAAGAAAAACGGTCAGTTGCAATTATTCTCTTTCTGCATTTGTGTGGTTGCTAGTTTTCCAATCTGGCAGCGTGAGTTCAGCTACCAGATTCAAACAGTGAAATAGGATCCAATAAGAACTCGTAAAAGGTACATGGGAAGGAGCCTGATGACCAAGTTACATTTGAGAAGATGAGGAGGGTGAGACTTTGATTAGCTGAGACCTAATCCTGTTCCAGTGCTGTAAAATAGGAGAGAAACACTCTGAGTGGTGCATCCAAAGTACACTAGAAACTGCAGAAAATGCCCTGTGGCTTCAGAGTCACACCTCAGTGGGTGCCTTGGCACCAAGCAGGGCAGAGGGGATGTCAGCAGGGGGTTATAACATAGGATGAAGAAGGAGGAAAAAAGTGAAAGAGAACCAGCCCATTTGCTCTGGGACCCAAAACAGCTCTTAGCAGCTCTAAATAGCTCTGTGTGGGATTGTCATTGTAGCTGATACCGGATTATTCCAGCAAAAATGATCATTATGAGAATAAACCTTAGTGCAAGATGGGGATGGCGCAAACCAGCATCTGATAAAACAGCTTTGTTTTGAGGCAATTCTTTTACTCACTTATAAACATTTATTCTGTCAAGCAAGAAACCGCTCAAACTGATATTTCCCACAACAGAAGGAACTGCAGGATATACCATCTTCAGGAGTCTGTTTTGTCTCTGTTAGGAGGACTATTGCAAAGACCTTCTAAAGGACAGAGACTCTGTATTATGGAAAGCAGCATGGAAAGGCACAATGCTTCTCTTGGCCAGGAAGGTTCAATGAAGGCAGCAGGCTCCTACCTGCAGTATCCAATGTACAACAGCAGAACTTCATTCCTGTACATGTGGGACAGTGTGTAGATCTGTGTCCTGGATCCAGTTCACCAGACAGTGCTGTAGAGCATGCACACGGGTACTTGGGTTCCTCACCCTCATCTGGGATTTTTTTGGGGCTGCCTTTCTCCCCTGGCCAGTTTATTGAGGGGAAAACCAAACCATAGTAGCAAAGGAGCTGGACAGATAAGGAGCATAGTGCTCCCAAGGAGAATTAAGCTGTCTTTTACAAAAGCAAATGCTTCAAAGAAAGAATTGCTTATCACTTCTCCCTCAAGTCTTGCATTTGATACCCAGTACCTGTTTCATTCCATAAGCCCACATAAGAGCACTGGGGCAGCACTGTCTGTCTCCCAGCATTTGCCCATGGGATCATTAAGTGAAGCCCCAACACAAGCACATCCCTCAGTGCTACAGTAATGAACATAAGAAAATAGTATTCAGACTAGACAGATACATAAATAGCTACTATAGCTTTGAGTATAAAGAAAGCAAAATGCTTGCACTTGTTCATAAACAGAGAAATGCTTCCTCTGATAGGAGTTTCCACCCTACTCATTACAAACAATTGTCAACTATTGCAGCCTACAGGTGTACCAAGCTTACACATCACCAGCTTTACAGCAAGGTGATCCACAGCAGCTTCTGTAATTCAAGCTAAAAGTTATTACAGCAGCACAAGGCAGAAGGAGAATATGTTGAACGCAGAAGAATATTATATGCAAATTGTGATAATTCATGACTGAGTCACATAAAGTATGTATTCAAAATCTGTCATGATTTACAGTTTTAACAATACAGTGCTTCGCATTTATGTAATGACTTTCTTTGGAGGATCTTGAAGTGCTTGAAGGCACTGAGATGAATACAAAATAAAAGGAACCTAACAGAGGGACTTTGGATGCATTTCTTTTCAAATTAAGAGCTGCTGGGAGATGATGCAATCTGGAGCCAAAGGACATGGGAAGTGTCATTACAGGTGTCATAACAGTAAAAGGAGACTGGACTTTCAAACAGGAAGAGAGAACAAAGTGGGGGGGGGGGGGGGGGGCAGAAATCATCAACATGGGAAAAGCACCATATGTCAGTGTGTTTGATTCTATCACAGTGCCTACAAGAAAATATCAAGCAAATATGTTGCAAACAGTAAAACATACTGGAGAATTTCCTCATTAGGCAAGTATCATTAGTGTCAGTGAAAACATCATGGGTCTTGTCATCATAAGACAAAAGTCTCTCCCCAAGAAGTGCACAGTAATCTTACAGCATTTTAATTTATGCCTTTTGACATAGGCTGCACAAAGATGATGGGAAGCTGTGACTCTTGAAGGTAAAAGTGACTAGACCTTTATTGGACATGAACCATCTCCGGAGTTAGAGCAAGAAAGAGCATATGCAAGCACACATGGAGTGCTAACACCCGTGTTAGGAGATTTGGCAACAGGTGCCTTACCCACCATCTTCCTGAGACATCCTGAGAGCTCTCACAGTTTGGTGAGCCACAACAGTCCACAAGCAGGTTCCAAAGTGGATATTCTCCAGCTGAAATAGCTACAGACTACCAGACCCCAGAGAGCTTTTATCTTCTACCTAAGACACACATGATTTGACTTAGATTCTATCAGAGCAATAAATTGGAGTTATATTGATACCTGTGATGTAAAAGAACTTACAGGCACTGTAATTTGTGTTCAGCTTTATGAAGACAGCCACAACAGGGGCTAAAGATCAAGTATTTCAAAACATATTTCTTTTTCTTAGAGTTGCTATTTTCTGAAGGCCTTTTTCTTTATGTCAAGATAAGGCCCTTCCTTTATGTCAAGATAAGAAAATTATTTGAAATATTTATGCCACCAGACCTACTGTAATGGTATAATGTGATGAAAAATGTAGCAATGACAGCAGGGTGGCAGAGTCCCAGGTTGCAGCAAGAAAGGATAAGCCCAAGTACAGCAGCCACAGAGGAAGAAACAAGCAAGCAAAAAACTGCTTACCTTCAAAACAGTCCAGGTAGACAGGGAGCTCCAGTGAGATATCCTCACTTCCACTGCCAACCGTTAAATGAAGTCTGGGAGAGGGTGGATCCTGACTCTACCCCTTCTGGTCACTCAGTCGCATTGCGTGCACCTGAGCTCCCCTGTGTTGGCCCTGCCTTCCCACCAAGTGCTCAATTACTGGTTCAAGCCATGACTCAGCATTTCTGCTACACCTGCAGCTGTAGTGGGCCTTGCTCCCAGGAAAATGTCTTCTCATCCTAGAAAATAGTCAGAGTGGGCAATGGTAACCCACTGGCCACTGTCTGCTTTAGCAACATAAACATGGTTGGTGCTGAGGAAAGTAAAATGCTTTGTACTACCTTAGTTCCTAAAACTTTTATAACATAAGCTGATGAACTTCCACAGTAATTTTCATCTGTGGTCTTCAAAGGCCAAGCAAGGACTGCTACAGTAGACAGTTCTGAAAGACCTGTTCGGCTCTCTGCTGCACACGTAAGTGGCAAGGTCTTTCAGGCAGTGTGTATGTCTAGCTTTTTGATAGCCAGTCCAGGTCCCAAAGAGCCATGCCCCCAGGCAATTCAGGCCAGCCCAGTCGAAGACATAACAGCATCTCATCAGGCATGCAGGTAATCTATCCCTGTGGACATCACAGATTTCAGTATATTTTCTGCATTCCGGAATGCACAGGCACCTGCTCAGGTATCTTTTGTCTCACAGCAGTGGCCAAACGTGCAGTCCTCATGGTGACTTCAGATTCAAGATGTGAAAGACTTGCAGTGGCTTACACCCATAAAAGCTTAGAAACCACTCACAAACTGATGCATCTTCCTCCCCAGATGCAGAAAAAGCAGTTATTTTTCAGGAGAGTACAGATGTACTGGTTTTGAATTAATACCTGTACAAAGACTGGTATTACACACTAAACAGAGACTAGGTGGGAGAAGTGGGAGCTGTTACCACTGCTGCCACTGTGACCTGCCAGTTTTTGTCCAAGGGCAGAGGTTTATTCTCAGCATGCAGATGCTGGAGAGAAACTTTCCTGTTAGCCCTAGTGCTATCCAGCTGCAGCAGGTCTCAGTGGTGAGTTCTGATGCCAGTATTGTCTTTGTAATAGCCCGCTACCAGCTATGACTAATAACCAGATCAATAGCCATTGTTGTGAGACAGATGGGCCCATTACAATCAGAGACATTCAGAGTCTGGCTTTTAACTCCTAACCTTGGTCAGTATAAAATATTCACCAAAATTCTGTGTTAGACATTGGCCTGTTTTTCTTTCCCTGACATTAACAAATGTCAGGCTGCAGGACTGTACACCACATCAATCTCACAACAATAGATGCCACATTTGCTGGATGTATTACTAAAGGAACAGCATAATTGATTTTTACAAAAATCCTCTGTAGAGCTGATGGGTAAGTGAAGAAAAACAAAAATAATGGGATGTGTTTCTATCAGTGTTTTGCTCCTGCCCATGTCCATCCACAGGCCGTTGCTCTTAGACCCCCCTGCACTACCAGTTAATTTACAGGTAAGAGAATTTTCCAGCACAACTGGCATTGGATTTTCACAGTCAGTCTCCTCTCTGACAAGATATGAGCCTGGTGTGCAGTGGCAGGAGAACTCTGGGAGGCAAAGCACCAAGAAAAATTTCCATCCTTTCCTTTACACAGCAACCTGTTGCTCAGCTCCCCACTGAATGCATTTGGTCCCTCCCTCCATCTCCTCATATTAACTGCTTCCTGGTGAAGTCATCTGCTTGGCTTCCCGTAGCAGATTTCTGTTCTTTCCACTCTCTTGTGAAAGAAGTAGAAATTGTCTGACAGTGAATGAATCCCTCATATCCATGTCTCCCTATACAAATACAAGGAGAGATGCTAAATCAAAATGGAGGGACCAATCCCACCAACGAAAATAATAAGCAGAAAGAAAACAATGTTGAGAAACTATTTACAAATGCATTTTTCAGTTGAGTGTTGCTGATGACTTTTATGAATTATTGAATAACGTCATGCATTATTCAAGCTTTTTTGTGCAGTTTATATTATCATGCAGACCCCTTAGGGCCTGGAATCAGCCAGCTAGCACGTTGTGCCCTTGCTTTCTGTGCGAGCAGTATGCTTATAAATAGAGAAAACTGCTGGGCTCCAGGGCTTTACTCTGTTGACTGCTACCTTGTGTCTGGAGCAATCCTGCCTGAGAAGCTCTCCTTGGACTATTTCCAGTTGCACTCCAGATCTCACACAGCAGGACAATTAAGGCACAGCTGATAGGAACCAGCTCTCTTCAACTGTCTTGCATCTCTTCTGCTCTGAGGATTTTGCACTGTGTTCCTCAGCCTCTCACCTGAGTGCTCAGATCAAGGCATCCTCGTAGTTTGGTATCCAGACATGAATCCAGATGGTTTGAGTGGCCACAGCCACGAAGGCTGGAAGAACCACATCTGAGATGTGAAAGCTCTTCAGAATCTGGTTTGCAATTCTTCAGACTGAGTATCATGTTTGTTAGAAATAGAGTTAAGAGGTGAGAGAGTCGGGGCAGAAGAAAAAACAGTGCTCTGGGAAGTGGAACATCTTTCAAGCACTTTTAGATGAAACATCTCCAGTGTACATACAGATAATAATTTTAGTTACCAGAGCAATTCAACCATACTTCTCTACCAAACAGATGGTAGATAAAAACCCTTGGACTTGTAGTTTTGGGGAAGATTGGGGGTTCACTCAGACTGTCAAAATAAGTTAAAATAACACTTCGGTTTTGTTTTAATTTAGTCAGTCAGAAATAATAATTAGACAACAATAAAATGATTAGAATGAAAGATGTGCAGATTTCTACTTACAGGGGCAATTAAAAAAAAAAAAAAAGAATCTGAGTGAATTGGTAGGGATTTTTCCTTAAAAACTGTGATTCGCTGGCTTGATCTTCAGCTGAAACTACTTATATTTTTGTATGCTCTCTCAGTCTCATCCTTGTTCCCCATGCATTTTCACAACAGTCTGTGCCATGACGGTGCTCTTTTTATTTCACTCTTTATCCATAACTACTTCATGGATAGTTGAGAAACACATCTGTTGTACTAGCATGGAGTCAACAAAGAGGTGTTTTGCCACGGGTTAGTAAGGTTTGATGACATTTAGCATCCAGCCAGGCATTTTCTAGAGGAGCAGCTACAGACCACAATGTATTAGGCAGCTACACTGGATTTCTGCAGGATAGTGGATGAGGAATTCCTCCTGGAAATGTCTAACAAATGCTGCCATTTACATTGGATCCACAAAGGAACCAAATGGAGTCCAAAGCTAAATGGGAAGGCAGAGCTTTCATGCTATCTTTTACACATTCAAATAACGAGTATTTAATCTTCTGAAAAAACAGATGAAACCTAAGCTGCAATGAATATTAAGTGTAAATCCGAAATAGCACTTAAATGATTTCTGCAACCTGCAGTTCACTCAGGATGTAGAGATTTCATTATAATAGCCACAATGGACTAAGAATGTAATATCAGTAATAAGAAGTAATGGGACTGATATAGCTGGAAAAAGAACCAGAAATGTTTGGGAGCGCACAAGCTCTTCCTCAATCTGAGATTTCCCAGGACACTTCTAATAACTTTTCGCACACATTTTACCTTTACATTTATTAACAAAGAACATCTACGCTGCTAAGCACATCTTTTGCTGAAGAGAATAAATTGTGACCAGCTACCAAAAGTGAGGAAGCAAGAGGCTTGTTTAACACTGAATGCAGCACTTCAGAGCTAGAAAACTGAAAAAAGCAAGCTCTTGTAGTATATACATACTTATATATATAGTCATAGCAGGGGGTTTTTTGGTCATGGACGCAGTTCTGTGGTACCCTATAATTTAAGGTCTTACAGCACAAGTTGAAGATTACTTGATGCTGTTTTCCATATTGGTCTTATTCATCCCTCACTTAAACTGACATGGATCCATTGATTTTGTTGAAGATATTCCTGTACTATATCAACCTGTATTTTTCTAGGAAAAAAAAAGCATGACTTGAAAGTCTGTTACCATTAACTTTTAAAAACCACTTCTAGCATTTCGTTAACTTTTAATTATATACACCAAAAAAAATCTTAAAAATTGACTCTAGATGTGCTCAAATTTGGAAATTCATTCTCACAAATAGGAATTGTTGAACAACTGAAATATTTTCTGAAAATCAATTCTGTTATTTGTATGTGTAAATGAAACTAGAGGGCTTCTAATGACTATGTTTTTTTCCTGCATTCTTTAAAATAATTGAGATCATTAGGAACAATCCCCTCTGCTCCCAAAAAGTTGATGGCGGTGCCTGGAGAACTGTGAATCCCTCCACTGTTTTCACTCTTGTGACCTTTCTTAATATGTCAACTCCTAAAAACTTTTCAATCGGTATGGATTTCTATTTCAAGACTTCAAATCCACAAACAACACATTTGTTTTCCACTGCTAAAAGCACTGCTTTAGATATACCCAGAGATAAAAATTTTCTTAAAAGGAATAGAAACAAAAACATTTTTATTATGATATAGCATTCAAAGTATATTGATGCTGTGCATTTAGTGTCCTGTTCATGGTATTCAAGACTCAAAACTAAGAATTAGTCAGAGAGAGACAGTGCTTTCAGGTAGCAGGAGACCTTGAGATACCAGTGCTGAGATGTTTTCTGGTTATGTTCTTGCTAGTGTTTCCCCAGGTTTTCCCAGAGTACATTGATTTGCATCCAGAAATGTCATTAGCAAACAAAACAAAATTAAAACATAAAAGAATTCTTCTCAGCCTGACTGATCACAAAGCCCTGTCTTGAGAAGTAGTCACCTTCACTTCTTCTGCCTCTGGCTCCAGCAAAAATCCATCCCAATGTGTCTGAAGGCATAGGAACAAGTCCTACCAGAACTCAGATAGGTAAATGTCTGTTGATTTTGATGAAGTTTTGATGAGTCAAAAGAGCCTCGTCCTGTGCCCATTGAACACATGAATACATGTTGTAAACTGAATCTGTACTGACAAAATAAACAGCCTCTTAGA